GGTGGGCCACGAGGTGCTCGCTCGTCAGCTGGGCGGAATTCGGGATAACGGGCCCGATAGAGGCGGGAGGGCACGGGATGGTGGAAGGTGGAATGAAGCCGGCACGCAGTGGGCAGCTCCGTTTGCACAGTGTTCTTGGCGCTTCAGGGTTGGAATGGAAAAGGCAAATTTCAAGGTTGATTAGCTCAGTTGGTTAGAGCGCCGAGCTAATATCTGCTGATATTTGGCACTCGGAGGCCATCGGTTCGAGACCGATATTGACCAGATCTTTTTCCTAGCACTCTGTTGAACCATCATTATCATACCACTGGCAAGTGTTTGAAGCTTCCGATTTTTCTATATTTTGGGAAAGTCATCTCGGCAAAGGTCGGCCCATGTCGCCGGTTCAAGGCCGACATTGACCAAGCCTTTCACCGCGCCACTCAGGTACAGCCTGATAGCCTCGCTATTCAAGGTTTGATTGTATGCGCACAATACCTTCCGCGATATGTAATCGAACCAGTCATATGGATATACAGTGGGGGTCTATGCGGCTGAGACGACATTTTGAGGGTGATCCGCACTCGCGTCAGCTAAATCGGCTAATGCAAGCGTTGTGAGGCGTGGAGATGTCCCACTTGGGTCGCTCACGCGGTGCGCTGGTGATTGCGAGCTCCCGAAATTAAGACACTCAGAACGGAGAAATTCGACCATCGTTTTTACTTCCTCCATTTCGTCCATCAGAACCGCATTCTCATTCCTAAAGCCATTGTTCTCCCCTTCAAGCTGGCGCAGACGCTCGTGCGTCGCAGCAGCAGCTTTAGTAGCTGATTTGTTAAAAGGGCCCGAAGCAGTTGCAGAGGCCAATCGACGCGTAAGATCCCCTACGCGCGACCTGACAAGATTGAGCTCGTCCTCTCGAGACCTAGAAGACCATTGAGCTTGTCCAAGTACGCGGATTTCCCCACTCACTTGTGCGAGGCTGCCAGTTGTTCATTCGCGCGCTGTAGGCTTTCCAGCCTCAGTTCCATCTTCGCATAGTTGCTGATCATCTCATCCTGCTTCTCTTTATTTTCTCGATATGCGCGCATTTCGGGGGAGTCATCTCTGTACGTAACCGTTGACGCCAAACTAGACACGGTAGATGACCCTACCACGTACTTAGTGCTTGAGCTTTCGCCAGCTGGTCGATCCTTTACTCATAGGCAGCGATTTCATCCACCTTGGGTGCCGATTCACGGAGTTGCTGTTTCAGCCAGAATATTCTGAAGAAGGAATAAACTACATCGCGTTGTCCAAGTGTGTGAACCCTTGCTCGTTCTGAGCGTCCGCTGCACCTCCCTCTGAGCTTTCAATGTGGCCCAATAAAATACGCATGAGCGCATGAGGTGTCAGCATATCGCGCACTTATCCTTGCTTCGTTGAGTTCACTCCGCAACTCGACCACCTCTGCCGGCGCCCACCACTTTTTCTCTCCAAATCGACCAGGCCCCAGTCGGGGCCTAAGCTTGTCTTGTAGCTCAGTCACCCATTTCGTGCTTCTTTGCTTTGTAGCAGCCTCGGAACGAATAGTCGCAAGGTCCTCCTGGACCTTTGCAAGTTTCGATTTGTAGCCTTTGAGATTTCGTTAGGCGCTGTAACCACGAGGGAGCAATCCAGCGCGCGTATACTCGGTGAATTAAACAATTAGGACTGTTGCACAAACATAAACTCAATCTGGTTATTGGTTCTAGATAAGTACATTTGGTTGGTGATATTTTTACAGGAGAAACATACTCTTAACATCGGGAACACTCGCTTTACACGTCCACCCATTTCTGCCCAACAGGCCCGCTCACCTCCCATGCGAGCTCCAGCTCCAGCTCCTCATTAGGCTGCACCTCGCATTCCCACTCTACCGTACCTTCCCCTCCCACATCCAGGTTTGCCCAGCGTGCCTTGACACCCTTTTGCACACTCGTCCACGGTAGGTCCTTGTGCTTGTTTTCGTACGCATCCCCATTCGCGGACGAGCCAACACCCGCGATCGGACCAAGCGAGTTGGGAGATAAGACCTCGATTTTGATGCGTGCATCGGTGCTGACAGGGACATGGTCAAATATGTAGAGAGCGGTAACGGGCGCCAGGCGGGAGTTGCGGATGGTGATACGCTGAGAGTGTGCGGCGACCGATTGTGCGGTGTTCCCTCCCAAGAAAAAGCTAGACCGATTGGTTGTGCGGTTGAGAGTGCGCATGAGAGGGTAAGACACACGAAGTGCAGAGTCGACGCCAAGTGAGGTCTTGAACGAGTCGTTTGGAGCAACGTACTGTCGACCCAGATGAGAATCGATTATTTTGTAGTCTTGGCATGATCTCACCTCTATCCAACTCTTGGACACAAAGTTGTCATCCATAAACACGCTAGTCTCTCCTGGCAGCAGTGTAAACTCGCTCGAGTTGACCACCTTGCACTATGATCCAGAGAGTGTAAGCCCGACCGCCAACCTCGGTAAATGATAAACTCACCCTCAAGAACACACACTCCTTCTCGCGTGGGACACACACCCATTCTAGCTCTGTCTCAAGGTCAAGTACGGCGATGACAACCTTGTGACTACCCTCGTCGCTAGGGATATCGCTCCGCCCTGATATGCCAAATGAAGTGCTCAGAACACCCGCATCCACGACCTGGGTGGAACGATAAGCCATTGCCCTAGGTGAGGGTGGAACGTATGCAGCCGTGGACGCCTGCAGTTCCAGCAGTTCGTCCTCTTCGTCCGAGTCCTCTGCCACTAAAAACCTGGCCCCCTTTGCCACCCTCTTCTTTTTCTTCCTCAGTGAGCTAGGATCTACTTCAGGCTGGGCTGGAAACCCAACACGCCACGCAGACAAGCTCGGCACGTCGCTCCCGAGTTGAGGAGACGCTGTCGACAGTGTCAACGCTACGTCCGGCCAGTCCTCGCCGGTGGTTTGTGTGATCGATGCGCGATAGTGGAGTGCAACCTTGGAGGATTCGTCGGAAGACTTGGCAATGGATGCGCGTACGTCGTATAGAGGTGTCCAGCTAGCATCTGTGACAACTGGATATCCACATAGTTAGTTACCTGACCATGAAACTCGAGCAGGTTCGGTACTCACCATAGGTTAGCAAGAGCTCAGCCTGGCCATCAACTTCGGCGAGCACCGTCACGGTAATCTCCGTACCCCTCTTCGCACCCCGCTCGTCAGCGTGTACCTTGGCCTGCGCGTCGCTGTAATCCTTTTCTGCCTGCATGACTAGCACATCCAACTCCTGGATACGCTTCGCGACAGCGACCTGACGAGGTCCAAACATGTCGAGGAACCGCTCGACGTCCCCAATGTTCACGTTCTTGCTATCCAGTGTCTTGCCGTACGACTCCAAAAAATTGGACTGTTGCTTCGCGACCTCGCGCTCCTTCCGGAGAGCATCGAGCGCACGGCGTGATTCCGCTACAGCTTGTTCATGCGGGTTGTCCGAGGATGAGCGGCTAGGTTGGCGGTATGGATTGTGGTAAACGACGTCGAAGATCACAGCGTTGCCAGTGCCATCGACGCGAATAGAGTCTTCATTAATGCACGAAGGGAGTCGTTCAACGTCAACATGGTTTTGGCCTTGCTGCAAGGGAAAGAAAACATGGGCGGGGTTGTTCTGCGGGTATACAGGCGTCTACGTACCTTGAGGTCGAGCTTGACACGCCGCTTAATTTCGGCAGAGTCTGACTGGAAGACAGTGACCGACTCGATGCAGTCGTCCTGTTCGGCGGCGTTGATTGAGATCCTGTTTGCGGTGGGGTGTTCTGAGACCATATTCAAGACGATTGGGGGTGTGGTAGGAGAGAACTGGCCTGGAGCTGGCTTTATACAAAGGCCTATGAAGCGCACAGACCACCATTCACTCGCATTATGACTCCACCGGTTGCGCAACCCTTCCCAAGGACCTACCGGTAAAGTCGAAAGCCAACTCCGGCTAAGCCAACTCGACTCTCAAAGCTGTGATCGCCGAGGTCCGCTAATAGTGACGTAAGCAGTCCCCCTTCTTTCCAGCGTTTCTATTTGCACAAGCTGCGATGTTCGAGTCTTCTGATGTTGGCTGGAAAAGCCAACACCGCCCATGCGAATATCAATAAAAGTGCGGCTACACAAGGCGACAGCAACAGAGAACAGCTGTGTACATATAATGGCTTTACAGTACGCGAAAGAAAAGATATTAAGCATAGACGAGATAAACCAGACGCAGGCACAAGGGTCATCACTCTCATCGACACCAAACGAGTTCGAGACGACGAAAACCGACCAGAGGAAACCATATTTATTTCGCAGATATGCGATTACCTGGCAATTCCGTCCCCTCGCCGGGTCCCCATGTCCGAGGCAACTTTTGTGTTGTTTACGCCCCCAAGCTGCCATGCTCTGTGCACCCGGCGCTGTCGAACGGGCGAGTCTTCACCAGCATAGACACCAACGTCGGCCGTAAACACGTCTGGTCCATTGCATGCACCGTTGCCCGCATACATGCTAGTTCCTCCGACAACAGCTGGCGACGCCGGTCCCGCGCTATCTGCGGCTGTGCTGCCGGAATGTTGAGGATGAGGCCTTGGACCAGCGCTTCGTTCGGGTGTCATTGGGGTAGCGTCTACGTTGGACCGAATCGGCGGAGGTGTGGCAGGAGATGGCTGCAACAGCTGTCGATCAGCAGACGAAGAGTGGACGTGCGAGGGTGACTGTGCTGGCGAATATATCCGTTGCCTTGTCGGGGAACCGTCAGCCATATCGGCGTCGCCTTCATCGTCCGTGTCACGCCGGGCAAAGTCCGTAAAGAATCGTGGAGTGATGAACGTATGGAACGGAAACGGAGCAGCACGTTCAGGTGTCTCGGGCAACGGCACGGCGGGCAACAACGGCGACGGCTGCCACTGCACCGCGCGCGCTGGAGCTGGAGGGCGCGCTACGACTCGCCGTCCAGGCGTCGAATTGGGCACAAACGTTGGTTGAGAGACAATAGACTCTGGAACGGCCGGTAATGTAGGCGCACATCTCCAGCAGCGCCACTGGTTGGCAGTTACGGGGGCGTCCATGCAAATACGGTGTGCCCAGGTGCGACAATCGGAGCATTGGATCATTGGTCGCCCGTCGGCGCCTGCACGGCAAATACAACGCACAACCTCGCCAGAGGGGGTGTGCTGCACGACCGCTCGGGCAGTACGACGAGCAATGAATTCCTGAACCGACGCACGAGCCAAGAGAGCAGTACGCGCGTCAGCACCGTCCTCATCCGACGCAACCGA